TCGTGTGTTGTGTCAGTCGACGTTGAACCAAGACTGTTTGTCTGCGAGTCTTCACAAATAGTTGATTTTGTCGAACAGATAAACAAAACAAGTAAATGTGCAACATCAAATTGTGAAGGTAAGCGGTCACTGATTACGCCTGAGGCATTCTAATGTGTTTTGTTTTCATGGCGGCTTCGCTGCAGTCTTAGTGTGTCATAGTGACTGATAGATTTCCGACCGATATCCCAAGCATATTACCAAAAGAACGTCTAAAAAAGGAACAACAGTTCCGTAAGTTATTCCATTAAAGCTATTTTTTACATTTCCAGCCTTTGTCTGTTCACTGATCTGAACATTAGTCACTTTGACACACTTTTAGATTCAGGGTGAGATGGTAATGTTACTTCTGTTCACAACTACAATACATCAATGAGTTGCTAAGGTTAATTTCTTGTTTGATTCTGTTTAGGAATTCTAGTTATAACTGAAGTGTCTCCTACTGAACACGGTGGATCTCTTGAAGCAAGTCTAGTTTGCAGTCATTGTGATGGACGTCAACTTAAATTCAGAGGTTCAGTGGAGGTGGAAAAATAAAAAAGGACGGTTGTTGGTCTTGCCCTAGTTGTTGCCTTCTTCATTACGGGACATGGCTTTAGTACGTTTGACAAAACATTAAAGCAGTGCCTTGGAATAAGTACTGTTACAAAGAACAGGTACTATGAAGTGATCAAGCTAATAAATCCGATTATTGCTGACATTCTGAATGAGATGTGCGAAGAAGAAAAGGAAAGGATGAAGAGGATTGAAGGGACAGAGCTGGGTAGTTGGGAAAGGGCTGTAACCTCAGATGGAGTCTGGCAGACTCGAGGTTACTTCAGCAAGAACGGTTCATTCATTATCAAGAATTATTTGACTGGTGGCCTGGTATGGTATGGACACAAATGTATGAAGGGGGGTGATGATTTGATAGAAGATGAGTTGTTTGAGGGCACAAGTAAGTCGATGGAAGGTGTGCTGGCAGGTGAATGTTATAAGCAGGCAAAAGATGAAGGCTGTTGTGTTGAAGTTGTGTGGCAGGATGCCGACTCCAGCTCTGCAAATGCTGTGGCAGAGCACCACCCAGGAGGAAAGGTTTACAAGTGTGGTGGCCATGTTGGAAGGGCGCATACCAATAATTTAAAAGAGGCTGCAAAGAGGAAGTCGTTCAGCGCCACCATGATTGCAAAGCATAAAGCTGAATACCCAGAGATCGAGAAAGCCAAATGTGGTTGCAAGAGACACAAAAAAGGATGCGGATGTCTGTCCGATGCTTTCATTAAAGCAGCAAAAATAAATCACTTTTGCTGTCTTCAGCAGTGTAAAGATCCCAAAGAGTATGCAAGACGCATGAGGGCTCTTGCAAATCACCATTGCAAGAATGAACATGTGTGGAATCATGGAAAAGAAAACTGTGGATTCCATCTTGAGAAGCAGTGTAGCTGCAAGGGATGTGATGATGATGAAGAATTGAAGTGTGAAGGTGTTGCATATCAAACCAAAAATGTCCTTAAATGCAATTATCATTGGCTGGAGTACAAGATTGAGTGCGAGAGGCGTGCCAACGACGCTAGCAGTGTGATCCATCCCGAAATGGGAAGAGGCCAGTCAAATCTCTGCGAAGCCCACTTTAATGTGCTACCACACTTCCGTTCAAAAAGCCAGAACCTTTGCAGGTGTGTACTCTCTCATAAGTACAAAGAATTTCTCAATTCTTTAGTTGAAAAGACATTTACTTGGTAGTTAAGTAATTTGTCTGTTTTTATGTACTATAAGGCTTAGATTGTAAGCCTCATTAAATTCAAACTAGGGGGCTACCAGTTATGCTGCATTCTGATTACTTCTTATTTATCACAGTGGTAAT